TGTCCAAGAATGAAACACTAATCAAGTTTCTCTGTAAAGAGGGAATATAAAGTACATCTCTATGTAAAAGTGTGAAGCCATCAGCAAGCTCTAGAGAAAGATCGCCAACGGCTTCAACATCTGCTCGGACTCCATTTGTAACTTTAACGCTTCTTTCTCTTCTTTCCATAGTCCTCGTCGAATGGAATCCCTATAAGGAATTAGCAACATAAATAGTTGCACCTGAGTCAATTCCACCAAGTAGATTTTGAATACTGTACATACAGAGATTCATTTATGAACGTAATAATGTTCTCATCTTTCTTTGCCATGATCATCTTTAAGTAATCAGGATAATATTTCTTATAATATCCCATCTTCTTGCAATAGAGACACTGGTCTTTCTCTACTGTGAACTTGTTTTGCTGTGGCTGATGCAGCATGGAACTCTTTCCCTTTGACTTTGAGGAGGAGTTAGCATTATTATTCTTTTTCTTGTTGTCTTTCATATAATTGATAGTGTCACCATTGGCAGCTTTCATTCTCTCTTCCTCTTGCACACACATAGCCATGAGCCTCTCTAAGTCTCACTTCTCAGGCTGTATGTTGTAGTTGACAACAAAAGTGTCAAATTCCTTTGGCAAGGAAACAAAAATCAGATGGATAAGGAACTCTTCCTTGAGAGCCAGATCCATTGATTTTAGCTTGGATGTCAAATTGCTCATCCTTAGTATGTGCTCTCTTATGCCACCATTTTCAGAGCACCTCTCTGTCACCAGCTGCTTTATCAGCTGGGTAGCATGTGTCTTTGAAGAGCCAGTGAACTGACTCTTTATTCTATCGAGGTACTCGGTGACCGTGTCACACTCTGGGATTGAGCCCACAATTGCAGGCTCAATCATGTTCTTTATCACAGCCAAATATTTTGACCCACTTCCTATGCTCAATGTCATAGGACATCTTTTGGGATGCTAAATCTCTCTCTAGTTGCCCAAGCGACATCAGCCTCGTTTGTCTCCCTCACCGGTGCCACAGGCTCAGTGGGTCACGGTGAGGTGACTACCCAATCCATCTCAGCCAAGATGAAGGCCAGGTCAATCTTTTTCTTTCACTCCGTGTAGTTGTCACCTTTGAGAGTGGTGATCTCTTTGATACAACCCATCAAGTTGTATCTTCCTGAAAACACAATTCATATAGAGTAAGAACATAAACATAATAATAACAATTGCATGTTTTAGTTCCAACGTTGGTCAAAATTAAAACATACAATTGTCCTCTACACTAATTCTACATCACCGTTGGGTAGAAATATAATTAATGCATGACAAAACTCATAAATAATATCATAATATTACCATTAATCAACGTTGGTCAGAATAATAACAATATTATAACAAACTAAAAACATATCCATTTTTCAAAATTAAATTCTCCATTTGGTTCGAATTTAATAATAAAAATAACAACTTTAAATACGTAGTGGAAAGCGTAAATATTTGCATTATTATTTTTCCAGAAACTTTATAGTACTATACTTTTCTCTGAAGAAAATTATCGTTGGATCAAAATTGTGTAGAGTTGGACATCAAAATTCAATTGAAATTCATCAAATATGTATCGAAAGATTTCTGAAAAAATAAAACGAAAGAAAAATTATGTTTCACTATGTTTGTGGCCATTTCGCCCAGTAGAGCAGAAACGCGGCCCACGGCCCAGTGCGCAGCCGCGCTCCTCCGCGTCCCAGGCCGGAACCCGGGCCTGGGCCGGGATTCTCCGATCCCGCCTATGCCGAATATTGGCCTGAGCGATCTCGTCCGTTGATCTGAATCCGACAGACATGCTTCAATCTCGGAGAGACAAAACTGGCCTCCAGCCGCTGTCCCATAACCATAGCCCTCATTCTATTCGCCTCCCTCCGCTCTTCACGCAAGCGCTGGCAACAGCCATGGCAGCCGGAGGAAGTGGCGGCGCCGCCGCACGCCCCTTCGCCGGTGCGTGCGTCCACCCGAGGGTGAGCGCACCGCCGTCGAAGGGCTGCGTTGCGGTGCCCCTGACACCCGAGCCCGAGGCGGAGCCACGTGGTGGCGTGACCTGCCCGGTTGGCGCCTCTAGTTCTTCCCGCGCGTCAACCATGGAGATGGCCGGCGGCGAAGACGGGACGGCCGGGCCCCAGGTAGGAAGCCTCTTCTCTACCGTCCCGTTTCTCTTTCTAGGGTTAGGTTTTCTTTTCCCGATTTGATTCGTTCGATTCGTTCATCTCTTTCATTTGATTTCTTTTCTTTTCTATTTGTACCCATACTGAGATCTACTCAATAAAACCTGACTCTGGTACCAATGTTAATATATATTATAATCACATAGTCATAGATCTAGCCGGACACATCTTGTAAATAGATAACATGTCCTAGTACGTGAACTAGACAGAGATTAGAGGAATGAGTAGTGCTAGGTTACCGACCATCGTAGGCCTTCGATCCAGAAGCGTCGGTCCATGGTTGTTGTGTCGGTGTCTGCGCAAGGGCAGCGACGGTCGGTGAGGACGGTGACGGTGATGGCGGTGGCGACGGTGAAGACCGGTGGCGGTGCTTTCCGTCATTGGCTGCGCCCCTCACTAGATCAGGTTAGAGTTTATCGGTGGAGAGCTCGGCTCAGGCGAACCTCGTACTCAGAGCCGCCAGCCCCACCTCTGTATATAGCTCTGTGTGATAGAGATCCTCCAACCATAGTGGACTGAACGCCTCCGATTAGGACACAGATCAAAAGGTCAATTGAGCCGTTACCCCCAGTTTAGAATTAGAGATGAATCTAACGTCAACACCTCCCACCACGTTCGTCTTCCCCAACCTGCTCTGCACACTCCAAGTACGACCACCGCGAGCCCGGCTTCTCCATGTCCTACGGCGGCGGCGACATCATCATCAGCTCGCCGCGCTCGCATGCCACCTCGAACGTGCGCTCGACTCATGCGTCCTCAGGTACCCGCACCTTTTACGACGGGATCTACGCTTGCCTCGCCGAGCTCGGTGTCGAGCTCACCCATGAGGCCAAGAGCCAAGCTTCCACAGGTGCCTGCTTCTTCTTCATACCTGCGGCCTTGAGGGTCCTGCTAGGCCTAGGTGGTTTGACCGCCAAGCCCAGCGGCCATTTTGCGGCTAGCACGCTTGAGTTGCTGGACGCCCGCAAAGTCCGCAAATTAGCGTTGTGGCCAGTGCGGCGGCCAGCTTGCATGCCTACTTTTCCCCGTCTACACTGTAGTAGTAGTACAGGTGATCCTGTAACGGTGTACGACGTTACCTGTTGCAGCGAGTGCTGGACTCGATAGGAGCAAATTCTGGCCGCGTTTAGTTCGGCCGATTCGGCGCCGGCCGAATCACTGCAGCTATACTGTAGCTACAGTGTTGTTTTGTTTTTATTTGGTAATAATTGTTCAATCATTGACTAATTAAGTTTAAAACGTTCGTCTCGCAAAGTACAACCAAACTGTGCAATTAGTTTTTGATTTCGTCAACATTTAATAATTGTCCAATCGTTGACTAATTAGGCTCAAAACGTTCGCCTCGCAAAGTACAACCAAACTGTGCAATTAGTTTTTGATTTCGTCAACATTCTACACTGTAGCTACAGTGTTGTTTTGTTTTTATTTGTTAATAATTGTTCACTCGTTGACTAATTAGGCTCAAAACGTTTATCTCGCAAAGTACAACCAAACTGTGTAATTAGTTTTTGATTTCGTCAATATTTAGTACTCCATGCATATACCGCTATAAGTTTGATGTGACGGAGAATCTTCTTTTTACATAGTGTCAAATTCTAAAAAATGGGGAACTAAACATGGCCTCTGTTGGAATTGTTTGCACGTGTGCAGTGCAGCGCAGTTGCCTTGCCTGCAACTCTGCGCCAGTGCGTTGCTTTAAGCATCGCGTCTCAAGCTCTGAGCTGCACAGCGGAACGGGGCATCAAAGTACGATTGCTTTATCCGTCCAGGAGAAGAAAAGCTGGAAACGCAAACGTGTCGCGAGTACAACGTTTGAACGTGAACTCTGGTCCTGACAGCAATGCTAATGAGCCGGGGTTCTCTCTGAAACTCTAAAACAAAGAAGAAGAAATGACAAACATACTCAGTTATATTGGTAGCAATTGAGTACGCTCTCGCTGATCACGTCGATTATCGGCGTGAGACATGATGCATCGCCAGAAGGTGTCGTACGAACGAAATGAAGCCAGGGGCCTGAGAGTGTTCCATCGAAGAGACGCATCATGCAGGGGCCGCATGAATGCAGGAGCGAGTGGCAACAGTGATTCGCCGAGCAGCCTGCTCCTGATCGAAACGTTTTCATGGGTTTCAGAGAACTATCCACACCACACACCAGCAGTATAGCAAACCGAACCCCACGAATATTCGCGGGAAATAGCGACGAGATGCAGGCCCAGTACTACTCCGAGTCTACTACAATTTCCCAGTCCACGGTCCATCTCCAAGCGGGACCCAAGCCCTCAGGCTCGCAGGCCGGCCCACTAGCATAAAAGCAGGCCCATCATCGGCCCCCATCGACGCGACAAGACCACCCGCATAATAAATGACCAAATGCAGGAGGTGGGCCCACGAGTCGGTGACACGACGTCACTGGTGGTAATATACGGCGCTTCCAGCACCGTGGGATCCGCCGGGTCAGAGGCAGATCCACCCGCCAGCGGGAGCCGGGAGAGCGGCGTGTCGATCCGTGCGGGGCACTGGACGTGGGCCCACGTCGCCATTTCGAATTTTGAGGGTCCCGTCACCGCCGCACCACGCTACCCGTCCGCGTCCCCATTCCCCCAACGTTCCTCGCTCCAGACCGATTCAAACGGCAAGGAAGTCACCAGAAGAGCCCGTGGTTACTCAAGCCGCGGTGACCCGACGCGAGCAAGGCTCCAAAACCCGCACGCGAACGCCACACCTAGCTCCGGCCGTTTCGCGTGGGAGTCGTTTCGAAAAGTTGTTCCGCAGCTCGCGAGCGGTGGGAAGAAGAGGAGGCCAGGCCATGGCGGCGGCGATGGCGAGCATCGGGATCATGGACGGCGCCTACTTCGTCGGGAGGGGCGAGATCCTGCACTGGATCAATGCCACCCTCCAGCTCTCCCTCACCAAGGTCGAGGAGGTCAGGCCCCTGCTCTCATCCCCTTTGGTCACGCTTGTTCGGTTCGATTTGGTTGGGTTATTAAGGTTTAGGGTTTTGATCCGTTCGCGAGTGTCGTAGTCTCTAGTTCGTGCGAGAGGATTGTATTGTATGGTCTGGAAGTGCGAGAGGATTGTGTGGCGTGACGCGGAATTTTGTGTTGATTCTGGGAGTTTGCTCTTGCTTTCCTGCAGGCGGCGTCTGGGGCCGTGCAGTGCCAGCTGATGGATATGGTTCACCCTGGAGTGGTGTCGATGCATAAGGTTGGTTCCGATTCTTCCAAACTCCGACACTTGATTGATCTGTATTTGGGTGCAGACCCATGGTGTTAGGTTGTCCAGTTGATTGTAAGGACTGTCTTCTGTGTGCGGGTCTGCAGGTCAATTTCGATGCGAAGACAGAGTATGATATGATCCAGAACTACAAGGTTCTTCAGGATGTGTTCAACAAGCTGCGCATAGGCAAGGTACTGGATGTCAACCTATTGCATTTCGATCCGCGGATATGTGTTTGATGTTGTGCTTGCCATTGCCGAAAAGAATGTGTGCGTCAACCTACTGCTTGTTTGATAGCTTTGGGTTCCAATTTGTAATGGTTGTAACCATTATAAGGAATTTACTGCATGATGTTCCATTGTACTGATTACCAAAATTATGTTTATTGTGGTGCACAGTAAGATGAAGTTCAAAGTAAACTGAGATTTAACTTTTCTAAATGTAAATTGCAGTCCACAGAGCTGCTGGTTGATTTCGTGCTTGATGCATTTCAATCCATGGGAATTGTCTATGATATTCTTGTCTGTCATTGGTGAAAAACTAAAAACTGAAAAGGATGGGTAGATTGGCTTCACTGTTTCAGAGCTTCTGTTGGTATTTTTAAGTTCAGTCTTTAGTGAGATAAGAATAGTGGTATAAGAATTTGATGCATGACCTTCCAATATACTAAAGATGCAAGGGTGTTAGTGGCACCTTACAATAGGAGACTGACTTCGAACCCGGGACCTTCCGTATTGAAACCGCTTGCACCAGGCCCGACCTTCCAATATACTGAGTATTGAAATTATTTTTGTGCTATACACAGACATAGCAAGTTGGAGTTCAAAGGAACTTGAAATTTAGCTCTTATGTGTATAAATAATAGAGTCCAAAAGACTGCAGTGCTGCTGTTTTGATACTGTGATTAGGTTTTGCTAGATAAAATAGTGGTTGTTGTTTTCCTGGGAAATCTTATATCTACAAGAATAAGGACAATATGCACAGTGAGATGGAGTACAAAGGAAACTGAGATTTAGCTCTTCTAAATGTAAATTGGAGTCTGCAGCGCTGCAATTTGATTCCGTGCATGATGCATTTCAATCCATGAAAATCGTTTATGGTTTTCTTGTGTCTTTCATTCGTGAAAACTGAAAAGAATGTTTATGCACAATAGTTTTCCTTCACTGCTTCACTGCTAACTTCTGGTGGTATGTTAATGAAACAAGAATACCGGTTTAAGAAATTTGATACATGACCTTCCAATGTACTGATTACTGAAATTATGCTTGTGCTGTGCACGGCGAGTTGGAGTTCAAAGTTAATTGAAATTTAGCTCTTATATGTGTAAATAAGTCTACAGAATGCAGCGCTGGTTGTGCAGCAGTGGTACAAAGTAGGAGAATCTGGTCGATTGGCATGCTGTTGGGACACTGGACACAAGTACCATCTTTTTGATACTGTGATTAGGTTGTGCAAGACAAAATAATGGTGATTGTTTCCATTGAAAATTTGATTGGGAAATCTTATATAATATAACAAGAGTAGGGACAATATGTTTTATTGCCACAAAAGACACAACAAATTTATGCCACTGGTATGCTAAATGATTTACGGCTCTTTTTCTGACACAAGTGGAGCCAAGAGTGGTTCATCTGTATCCTTTTGCTATAATTTCTATCAGCAAAGTTCTTTCTTGCTCTTATTAATGATTGGTTTTACCATGCAGAACATTGAGGTCAACAAGCTTGTTAAAGGACGGCCATTGGACAACTTGGAGTTTCTTCAGTGGTTGAAAAGATATTGCGATTCTGTGAATGGTGGAATTATGAATGAGTATGTGCCTTGAATTTTGATTATGTTTGACTATAATAAAATGTTGTTCCTGACCAAGGCATTGAGAAAACTATGTTTTTGTTCCAGAAACTACAGTCCTGTGGAAAGGAGGTCTAAGGGATGCAAAGAACGTGGCTCAAAGGGTTTCAATAAGCAATCCAAATCACTCCAAGCCAATAGGCTTTCTGGTACTGATTCAGCAGATGGAGGTGGTGAGTCTATCTGATTTTTTTATTAAGTGCTTGTCTAACTAAATAATGAGGCTAGCATCTTTTTTTCTTCTTTTACATAAGCATATACTGTACAATGTAATTGATATTATTCTGAAACGATCTAATTGTTAGAGGGAACTAGTGTTCTCAGCCCCTTGTCTGCTTAGGGATGTTGCAAAGTTTACCAAATTTTGTGTTTCTGTTTGTTAGTAATATATCAATGCTAATCCAATTATGTAGGCCCTGGAGTTGGAAAAGTCTGTAACACTTTTTCTGAAGACCATTACATAGAACAGATTCAGAAGTTGTCTGAAAAGGTATGGAATATGTACTTCCGGTTGCTGATTCAATTTATGGACGCTCCACATTAAAACAAGAATGCAGACTTTTTGTACCATTGATAGATTTAGCCTTTAATCTACATTCAAACCATCCTGTATAGTAGTTGGTACTTGATGTCTACTTTATTTGTTGAATTGCAGATTGCAGACCTGAAAGTTTCTGTCGATAGTACTGAAAAAGAAAGAGACTTCTACTTCTCGAAGTTGCGTGATATTGAGATACTGTGTCAACGACCTGAGTTAGAGCATCTCCCGGTACAAGATAAATTCTATTAAATATCCATTTGTCTACACAAGTTTACTGGTTTGATGTTATGACCTGTGTTCTATGGCAACAGTTTCTGAATTACTATGTTTATAGAGATAGAGATTAATATTCTCATCGGGTTGACCTAGAATTTTATCTGGGACACCAACAAAACCCATACACAATCATGCTTCTTGAAAATTAGGATACCAACAAACCCTATTAACTAACCCCTTACAGCTTCAGTTAAGAAATGTTAATTATGGTTCCCTTTTCGAATATTTCTCACAGCTTTAATTGATCCTGAAACAAGTAGCCAAGTACAAAGGGGAATTGATGTTATCCATATATGTAGTCTACCACAATCACTCGGGTCTTTGCAAAAAATTTGGCTTGGACCATGATGTGAGTGTGTGAGTAGCATCTCACATATGATTCAGGATCTGAATAATTTGGGGTGGCAAAATGATTTTGAGTTACTTTCCTCGTGTTTTAATTCTTTGTAGGTGATACCACTGACCTGAATTTTATTGTGATAGATGACTAAGGCGGTTCGGAAGATACTTTATGCAGCTGATGCAAAGGATTCACCGCTACCTGAGGCGAATGATATAATCACCAAGTCGCCAAGCTTGTTCTCAAGTGAAACTGAGTGAGATGTGCGGCTACATGAGCTAATTTTGGTGGTTTATTTTCTATCATCGATCGTCATCGTAGTTCTGAGTCTGTAAATGAGTAAAATAACATTTGACATGAGTCATTATGCATGTCAAAAACAGTTTTCCTGTAAGAACTTGCTACTTGCGAGTTGTTAACTAGTTATGATGCATTCTTGCTCGACGTGACAGTCCCTATATGGCTACTTGTTTACTCTGGAGAGAGAGATTCTGTTCTGTCATCAATATCTTACTGCTCGTTTCAATGAAATTCATTGAGTGTGTTTGACAAGTTTTAACTTGATGGTAATCGCAATCTTCTTGCACCAGAAAAAAAAAACTTCAAGTTCATGTATGTGCTCTGTTTTGAGTTGGGTTGGAGTGCATATGGATGAATGACCATTATAAGTTGCTGCTGAAATATTACTGTAGACAGCCGAGTTGCTTTAGAACTAGGCCCGGTTTGTATCCACCCTACTACAGTACTAGGAACGAAGAATTATAAACAGTGGATCCAAAGGATGTTTATACTAAATAAATGATATGCTAATTTTTATACTTCAAGTTCAGTAAGATACAAACCGCCAGTTTAGAGCTTCAATTTGGCCCTGTTCGTTTGTCTTATAATCCGTATTTTTCGACTTGTTTTTTTTGCTGAAACCGTGTTTTTTTTTTCTCTCCCAACAAATCAGCCGGAACGGTGATTCAACTATTTTTTTCAGCGAAGCGAACCAGGCCAAAGGTTGGTAGCAAGTGCTAAAAGCTAGCATGCTGATAAAGAGCTGGGCGCATCGTTGGAGCTTGCGTCGCCGCCGCCGCCGCGAAGGGAAGAAGGAAGGAGGGTGCGGGCAGGGCGGCCAGAAACGTAGTCGGGGTGTGGAGGCCACCGGCGGGGAGGGCCAGCCGTGGGCAGCGGCAAGAACCGAGGAGGCCAGTGGCGAGGCAGGCCAACAGCGGTGCGAGAACAGGGAGGTCGAAGCTTGAGCTCTAAACTGACGGAGTCAAAGACTAGGGCAAAAAAGAAAAAAAGTTATTCTCTCACAGAAATTAATAAAATAATTAGTACAATGTATTACGACTAATATATATGTTTTCATAATGATAGTACTGGGCAAATGTTTCTCCTATATCCTTGAACCAAAATTCCCAATAAAAATGACTCTTCTTATCCATCCAATAAACATGCAGCACGGATTATCATATCCCAAAATCTATAGATGGTCACGCGCCCACACGGGCCTGCGTCGCCTACGCCACGCGCTTGCCCCCTCCTGCTTCCCATGCTCATCCCATGTCCAACACCCCGACTGCCAGAATTTAAAACTTGGATATTCCTACCTCCACACCATAAAAAAACCTGAATTCATAGGCTTAAAATATAATTTATAGTAGTACCTTGCCGATGATTAAAGTCGCAAAATACTCAAATAAAAAATTGTTCAGCTAGCCAACCCTTAAGACTTTGGGCTAAATTGAGTGAAAATGCTGCAAAATGATGTGTTATACGTATATACATATGAGTATATACATATATATACATAAAGGTGTCCCAAATAGTTGGGTGATTCTGATCTACTTTTGAAACATCAAGATACAACACTTACAACATACGTCAGTAGATAAAACACTTGAAACATGTGGCTGGAACACCCGCAAAAACACATAAAAAACACTTGGAAACAATTGCAAACATACGCAACATCCAGAAAAAACACTTACAACATGTGTGCGAAACATACGCAACATTCAGAAAAAAAAACACTTGCAACATGTGTGCAAAACATATACAACATCCAGATAAATACACTTGCAACATACGTCTAGAAAACTGATGAAACATTGTGAATAGACGCTTGCAGTATACGTGTACAACCATTACAATATATACAACATCCTGATCTACTTTTGCAACGTACATATGAAACACTTGCAATATACTTCTACAAAATCTGAAACATTTAAATTTTAAAATATATACTTACGACATGCATCGTATTCCGGTGCCCCGCAGCCGCAGTCTGTATTAGGGCGCTGCAGTCGTAGCAGGAGGTGAGGTCGAAGGGCTTCAACGCCAAGGCTCAACGTTTCTCCTTACGCCGGCGACGCCTGTCGGTGTCATCGGGCACGAGCACGTGTGCCGAGGCCTCAGGTGTCTAGCTCGCGGCCGAGGAAGCAGTCCCCACGCGTGGGTGTGGCGGTGCCCACACTATCAGGCGGGGCGAGCGGCGAAGGGAGGTCCTGTGGAGAGGAAGGATGGCGCCACGCAGGTAGCTGGGTGCGCCTCAGTGTCGTGGACCATGCCGGAATCCACGGCGGCGCGGTCGAGTGGAGGTCGCGTCTCTGGAGCGGAGGTCACGTCTGGACGAGTGGATTTTTTACAAATTTTTAGAGTGGGGTTGTTGAGGGCAAGGCGCAATAGGCCATTCGGGCTGTTGTGGCCCACGAGGCCACGACAATGGGAGCGCCCGGATGCCTGGACCCCTAGGTAGAACCTTTCTAAAAAATGAGACATGGAAGAAAAATTAGAGTAACAAGTAGGCAAACATCAAGGTGAAAGGTAGGAACAGATCGGATTGCGAGCAAGGGAGAGACGACAGTACCTGGATCATGCGCTCAGGCACCTGGGCTGCCGCCGCTAGGGTTTGCCCGCGCCGGCTCCCGTGGCAGCGCGGCACAGCGTCGGGCCGCGGAGCCGGGAAGATGAAGGGGAGGAGGTGTGGAGCGCTTTGGTGCTAGGGAAGGCGATGGGCGTCGCGAAGCCGAGCCGGCAAGGGCAGAGGAACGGCCTAACGGGGCTGGCGGCGTCGTGGCGACCAGCGGCCAGGGCCGTCCTATGGGGTGGGGGGCTGCTTGTGCGATGCCCATGGGCCCATGAGGGTACCCATGTGTATACTGTATAGTAGATGCTATCACCCATCGCCCGGCAAAACAACAATGTGTACCAACAGCTCGCGTACCAATTGTGGCGCGCCGCTTGTATTCTCGTTCTCGATCGTGAGTGCGTGTTTGCGGATCTGCGTGGCGGTGTCGGCGTGCTAGGGGCGGTAGCGCGCGCGAGCACGGACGTCCCTCCGGCGTGGCGGCGTGGCATCGCATCGGTCTGGCGTCCCTCTTCACGCAACAACGGCAAGTCGGCAAAGGTATCAGGCCTCTTAAATAAACAAATCAATTTAATTGCAGTTCAATACTTTTTTAAATACAATTGATCTTGAAAGTGTTCTTGAAGATTTTGCATCAAGAAATGGCCGAAGACGCTTTTTTAAAAAGCACTGAAGCACCCTAGTTTTATTTGAGGTAACCATCATAGTTATTTTGTCGTTTTTTATCTTCTTTGATGTACTATCACCTTTTCAAGAAGAATTAAATATATACTACAAGTTATATACTTTAATCATTCTATTCAAATATTACATCGTCGGACCTTAGTGTCTTACTGGCCCAAGGGCCCATGAAATTTAGGGACGGCCCACTTGTGGCGGCGCGCCCTTTGGGGGCGCGACGAAGGATTGCCTTCAGGCAGAGCAACTCTGCTGGGGCGGCGCCCCGCGATCGCGAAGTCTGGAGCGGCGGTGGCGTGGTGCAGCGGGTGCGGGAGGAGAAGCGTCGAGAGAGTCGAGACCGGACGGGTGAGGAGAGAAGCCGAGTAGATATTTTGTTGGTTGGTTCTGGAGCAGGAGCTGGTGAAGTTCCAAGGAACCATGGAAGCAGCTCCGGAGGAAATCCGCTTCAAGCGATGACAGCCATTGGTTTGGGGATCGGATGGTCAGCATGTAAGGGTGACGTGGCCGCGTAAGGAAACAAAAGCTGGTATACAGAAATCATTATAGTAATGGTAGATGTCACTGATAAATGGTCCTAGAAAAGTAGAGTCGTCGTTGCTAGATTTTTTTTTTGATCGGACATCATTGCTAGAAAAGTAGAGCCATCAGGAAGTAGCATTTGATTTCATCGAACGGCGGGAAAAACTTGGCTTATATTTCTTATGATTAAATTAAAGAAGCCCCATAACTAGAAATCTCGTGATGTTCAGAGAGACCGTGGAAGAGTGCCATGCCAAGCTCACCACTACAATGACGACCGCGGATTCGACCACATGACGGCAAAGCGCTACTTCCCGGCGACGGAGGAGGAGAACGTCGGCATCAGCGAGCACGAGGACGGCAACTGCATCACCTTCATCTTCCAGGACGGCGTCGGGGGCCTCGAGGTCCTCACCGACGGCCACTGGGTACCGGCGGAGCCCGCCTCCGGCAGCATCATCGTCAACATCGGCGATGTCATACAGGTGAAGCCGGAGAGCAGGATAAGCAAATCCACGCAAATACGCAAATGGGCCCGTAACAAAAATATCTCCCTTTTTTTTCCAAATGTAGGTGCTGAGCAACAACAAGCTGAAGAGCGCGACGCACCGGGTGCTGAGTAAACCTGCGCACAGGCACTCGTTCGCCTTCTTCTTCAACCTGCATGGCGACAAATGGGTCGAACCGCTGCCGGAGTTCACGGCCAAGATCGGCGAGGCGCCGCGATACAGGGGGTTCCTGTACAGGGAGTACCAGCAGCTGCGCGTGAGGAACAAGACCCATCCGCCGGCTAGGCCCGAGGACGTCGTCAACATCACCTACTATGCCATTTAGTTCAGTAACAAATTGTATTTCAATGCGCAGAAATGCAGGACCAAGGCTCGTGTATTTACTAAAACAATTGTATATCAAAAATAGCTCTTCCATCCAATAAACAGGCAGCATGGATAATCATATCCTAAAATTGTTAGATTGTCATATCACATCTAACTTTGCCTTCAAATCAAACACACCTTTATTGAGAGGATGGTTCCAATTTCATCGATTTTGGGGTCGTTTGATTGGATTTGGTATTTGTCATGTTTTGTTTTTTTCTCTATCAGAAGTTTCTATGTTGAAACTTTCAGATGGAGGTCGGTATAAGTTGAGGCATATAGCCAAGCGGTGCGTTTGTGCTGCTCTTGGTGCTTCCCTAGTGCACTAGTTCAACAAGTAGACATGCCGTAAACAATAATACCAGAGCACATGCACGTCATGTGGCATTTCTCACCTTAATCGTGTGACCACTGACCAGAGGCGAGGCGACAGCCGATAGACATGGCGGCAAGCGACGCGCTCCCCGTGGTTGACCTGGCGCCTTTCTTCACCGAGGACGTCAAGGGCGGCACCGCCGGCGCCACCGAGGCCGTGCGCCAGGCATGCCAGACGCACGGGTTCTTCCGCGCCGTCAACCACGGCGTGCCGATCGACCTCATGGCACGTGCGCTGGAGCTGTCAGCCGCGTTCTTCGCGCTGCCGGACAGGAGAAGGCCAAGGTCCGGGCGGCCCAGGGGTCCAAGGTGCCTGTCCCAGCCGGTTACGGACGGCAGCCGGCGCACGTGGCCGACAAGAACGAGTACCTGGTGGTCTTTGATCCCAAGCTCGGGCTCAGCGCGTACCCCGTTGAGCCTGATGGATTCAGGTCAGTTCGAGCGCAGAATTCCGTACTTGTTGACCTTTTTGAGTTCTTGATCGAATTGAAGAACATCGGAGCCAGGAGGGACTTCGAAATTTCTTATCGAGGGCCGAGGGATCAGGGGATCAAAGAGCAAGATCTAGATACAAGGGCTCCAATAGTGGTTGTGATCTTCTTTTTGCATACAAAGTGCTAGTTGTGCATACTTTACCTTTTACATTTAATAAATTTTCAGTAGGGGTTTCACCCCTCCTGTTCTATAGAAAAATGCTAATTGTGGTTGTGGAGTTAACGACGCAGGCCCCTATGGCTAGTAAAAAATAGATTACTAAAATTTAATAAGCACCTTTTGTTGCCCGCCCATTACCCATACGAAGATTAGGAAAAAAAAAAAGGAGGAATAATAGAAAAAAAAGGAGGGGAGGGGAGCACGCTAGCAGATAGCTCCATCCGTTCCAAATTATGCTACGTCCAATCAATTCTCAGTTTGTGATGAAGAATTTCAAAAGGTTCGACTGTTTGAGGGCCAAATATTTCGTCACAACTAAGAAACACCTGATATGATCTTTTTCGATAAGGAGATTTTATAGTGCATCGAGTTAAAACGTGGTCTTAGAACAACCTCCCAGTTTCTGCCTAACCGATACACATGGCCTAGACTAATCTCTCAGTCTCTGCCTTAGACACACAACTTAAGATTAAAAATAATTTAAACATACTCTGATGACATTTAATCATAAGACTAGATTGCCAGCCATATTCCCAGATAAACACTGTGATACGATCTATTACTTTCGTTCCAAATGATAAGTCGATTTGACTTTTTGGTATAGATTTTGCTATGTATCTTAACATAAATTATATTTAGAGATATATTGCAAAATTGATATAACAGGAAAGTCCAAGCAACCTATAATTTGAAATCGTTGGAGTAGTAAGAAACAACTGATGCACCGCATCTTTCATCTTCAGAGAGACAGTGGAGGAGTGCTACAGCAAGTTCACCGAGCTGGGGTTGCTCATCCAAAAGATCCTGAACGAGTGTATGGGGCTCCCGCCGGGCTTGCTCAAGGACTACAACGACGACCTCATGATAGTAAGGCGCTACTTGCCGGCGACGGAGGAGGAGAGCACCGGCTTCAGCACGCACGAGGACGCCAGCTGCATCACCTTGATCTGCCAGGATGATGTCGGGGGCCTTGAGGTCCTCAAGGACGGCCACTGGGTACCGGCGGAGCCCGGCGGCGGCAGCATCATCGTCAACATCGGCGATGTCATAAAGGTGAAGCCTGAGCGCAGGATAAGCAATTCCTTCCACGCAAAATACGCAGTGGACCCGTAACAAAAATCTCCGCCTATATATTTTTTTCCCCAGATGTAGGTGCTGAGCAACAGCAAACTGAAGAGCGCGACACACCAGGTGGTGAGCAAAGCTGCACACAGGCACTCGTTGTCGTTCTTCTCCAACCCGCACGGCGATAGGTGGGTGGAACCGCTGCCGGAGTTCCTGTACAAGGAGTACCAGGGGCTGCTCGTGAGGAACAAGACCCATCCGCCGGCCAGGCACGAGGATGTCGTTAACATCACCCGCTATGCGATCTAGTTCAGTAACATATTGGATTTCGATCGCAGAAATGCAGAAGCAAGGCTCGTGTATATATGAAAAAATTGGTGGTGTCTCTCCTCTATATACTACTCACTTCTTGTAAAACTTTGTTCCTATATGGAGTATATATGAATTAAAGACCAGGCAACCACCGAAACGGCTACCGTTGTTTTTCGAGTGCTATTGCACGGTGGGAAAGTTAATCAATATGGATAGGTTTGAAACATCTCAAACACATAAATCCATTGTCGTCTAGTCCGGTTAGGATACCTGGCTTTCACCCAGGCGACCCGGGTTCAAATCCCGGCAATGGAAAGTTTTTTATCTTTTTTTGCTCCTCTTCCTTTTTGTGTTTTTTTCTTTCAGTTCAGTCTCATCTGCCGTGACCGTGACGTGATTGTAATGTGACATTGGGCTACCGTGTGTTTACCCTGAGAAAATTGCTACTACGAGTGGGTGCCGGTTAAAATGGTTCACATTGCTATTAACATTTATGGTTCTAAATTAATTAATTTATATAAAAATATATTTCTTAATTAATTTAATGGTATTTAGTTAATATCATAAATTTTGATATATTTTCCTATGATTGGTGAAACTTATGATACTAAAATATGTCATTGTGCTAGAATTGTATTTTTTTTTTGAACGGGGAGGGTATATAAAAAAAGACATTACTTCTAATTGAAAAGAACAAGGGAAACTAAAAAAGCAAACGACGTTGCAATTTATAAGGACTTATCAATATCAATTCGCCACTTCTCAAGTAAGAAAACTATTATACGGTATCGCCACGTTGAGCACTCAACACATGGCATTTGAGCCTATTCAGATTTCAGAGCCAAAAAGAAATAAGGCGTTGGAGTGTTGGACAAATATCCAATGCAACTTTCGCGGCTAGCCTGTACTCTGTAGATTAATAGTATGTTTATATACTTTATAGACCTGGAAAATTAAGATACCGTGAAAGCAATTTTGTTGTACCATTTTTCACGTACCAATCTGATCGTTTTGATAGCTGAAATACAAAACATCTAATAACGCACAAAACAAGGTCACTTCTTTTTTTCTCACGGCTGGTGTATAATGAATGGAGAACAAAATATACTAAGAATAGGTGTATAATAAAAGCAGAATATAATTACTAAGAATTGTCCTACAGCACATGTCCACGGTCCACCTCTCCTTGTACATGCTTATTGCTTGGGGCCACAAGATCGACAACCGCTCAGTAAAATTCTCAGACAAAAAGGCCCATTAACTTTACAGTGTAATCTCATGTTTAGTGCCACCATTGTCATCCTCGATGCAAAATTCAAACATTTCCATCCACCACTCAAACTACTGCCAACTACATTACAATCTCTCTCAGCTGTGTAATGAGCCAAAGGAAAAGATGAATACGGTAGAATATGCCACTAGATTTTCATGTGCAAGGAAGACCAACACATGCCAAAGAAAAAAGTTGCACAGAAAAATGGGGGAAAAGAACCAATAGATGTAGGCCCCCGAGGCCTTTGAAGACTTGAAGCTATCTCATTGATGTTGTTATGGTTTACGTAGAATAATTAGCCCCATTTGACAATAGCTGAACCCCAGGTAAGTCCAGCGCCGAAACCTGATGCCGCAATAATATCACCAGTCTTCACCTTGCCACTGCGAACAGCCTCATCCAATGCTAATGGGATGGATGCCGCGCTGGTATTGCCATAGTTAGCAAGATTTGAAATAACCTTGTCAGATGGGATATCTAATCGACTGGCAGCAGCATCAATAATCCGCTGATTAGCCTGTACACAGAAGATCATTTAGAACAGCAATGATTCAGGTCAAGTGTATTTTTAGTTAGGACACTCACTTGATGTAACAACAACCAGTCGATACTGGAGGCAGGCAAACCAGCTTCTTGGAGTGCCTTCTCGATGGACTGTGGCACACACCGGACAGCAAAGCGAAAAACTTCCTTTCCGTTCATTTGAATGCATGAGTAGGTTGCCTTCTTTGGCGGAAATCCAGGAACACCATTGGTGTTGGACAAGATAGACTCGTCATTTGCCGTTATGGCATTTAGGTGCCTACATGTAAATAAAGAGAAACTATGTAAGCCAACATATATTTAGAATGAATTTTCAGTACCACACAACATTCTCGAAAGGAAGTCGCACTTTTGTCCATTGCCATCACTTTGAACACAAAAACCAAGCAAGCCATCTTCATCAACGCTGCATGCCTGCAAAATTCTAAATTAAAAAGTTGGACAAGAGAATTTGGATAAAGATCTCGTAATTAACAGTATCACATCACCAAGCATGGCTTCTCATGTTTCTTACTGAACAAAGTTCCAACCATATTTCATTCAGATTTAGCCATGGAACATTAACTAACTTACTGGGATGGGGAGAAATATAAATATTTACACAGAAAATAAGCTTTACCTGTACCAACACAGCACCAGCAGCATCACCAAAAAGGATGCATGTACCTCTGTCTGTCCAATCCACGTATTTTGAAAGAGCATCGGCACCAACTACTAGGACATTCTGAAGACCTCCACCTACAACAGTATGCATATATTATTCAAGTGGCATATTAATTTTGAGGGAGCAATCCCACATCAACCATATAAACTTTTAATAATTGAATTACCTTTGATAAAACGAGTAGCTGTGATTAAGCCAACTATAAACCCACTGCAAGCAGCTGTAATATCAAATCCAAAAGCATTTGTGCACCCCACTTCCGCCAGCACCTGTCAGTTAAGGATGAATTGGAACTTTTAATAAAACACCAAAACAGCATGCTCATAGTAATCAACAGAAAACAAGACTAAAGAACAGTTATATCAATATCAATTTCCTTAAAAGTACAACAAGAAAATCGTACCCTTTGAAACTAGGCCCAGCTTATGGTACATACAGTGAAAGTGTAAAGTAGACAATGAATCTCAGGCAAAAAATGGTGCCCGCTGAAAGTATAAATGGGCAGTACCTTTCAAAATGCTAGCAAGAAATATATAAAAGTAGTGCAGGACCATTGTCCATGTTTAATAATGTGCATAGGTTGACATTAGCACTTTACATTTCAGAATACCAACTCTAGATTTCAAGCCAGGTTTCAATGCACTAAGAAAGAGCCATATGAGGCTTCTCATGTATTGAAACAAAATTCTAACTTTCGAAGGCTAATATATTAATGAAAAATGGCATAATAACGCTTAAATATATTTTATTAGATACCTGAGCGGCACCTCCAAACAAATCATCTGGAGTAGATGTACAAAGGAGAACAAGGTCAACGTCTTCAGCTTTTACTTCGGCCATCTCAAGTGCCCTTTGAGCTGCTTGTATTGAGAGGCCCCGCAATGTTTCATCTCCTGTCACATTTGGAAAGTAGAAGGGGGAAATGAGGAAAAGAAGCAAAACTAAGAACCTATTGCAACTGAAACTGTTATGACAATAAAATATGCTTTCCAACTGACACGCAGACACCAGCTTTAAATGTTATTACCCACATATATAGTAAATTAAACAAGCTTCCAGCAACAATCAACAGTTTTCTGTTCAGATTTATACAACAGAGGTAGGCAGAAATCAAATTTTAGGTTAATATTTTCCATAGTCCTTGGGATAGTACCGAGAGGTACTATAGTTTGGTACCTAAGTACCTCATGTTATGATCAGTGCCTTAGTGGTACCACTCCAAGGATGGTAAGAGAAATTTTCTAGCTGCTGTCCTAAACCTAAGTGGTAACTACGCAAATCAGTAGTCAAACTACAAAAAAAAAGATACAATGTTCATTTGTAAAGATTTTACGATAATAAGACATCTCTTAATATCATTGTACTTTTACTTTGTAATCTCATTGTTTTATTTATAAGTCTTAACATATTTTATCATATATTAGAATTTTCATATGATATTTTTTGACAGAAAATTCAATATTATTCATGTCAATAAACTACTATAAATAAAAACTGATGTGCCAAACGGTTTGTGCACATCCCCTACGGTTACCACACAACAACAAACAAAAGCAGTATAAATTTAATCTAGGGGACACAAGTGTCCCTAATCTGGTTATTTAATTGAAGGAATAAAAAAACATAATTACCTGAAAGAACTCGCCTGTTACGAATCCCAGTTCGAGCCGCAATCCATTCATCTGACGTTTCAACTATTTTCGAAAGGTCGTCATTTGAAACACTAAGTGTTGGGATGGCTGATCCACATCCGACAAGCTTTGAACCCATACCAACCACCCTGTAATATCATCCAGCAGAGGTCATTACACCGGTGGATATTGTAGGCTCCATGATTAAAAAAAGACACAGATAAATGAATTTATCCTAGCAATACAGTTGGGCCAGCACAAGTATTGTATACAATGTCGGCTACAAAAATGGAAACATTCACCATCACATTTAATAGCAAGTGGAGCACAGGCAGATCCCAGACAATTAATCAGAGAAACCACGACCCACCGTCGACTTTACTCTATACATCAGGGTGGCCTATTCCAGTGAGTAGAGAGACACAGTAACACTATCAACTTGAGGCGTCTACACTACAGCACACAAAGGATTGAGCATACGGAACAGTTATGACGTCCTGACTACATGGAACTACTGAATTTCGAGCATAAGATGCCCACGGTACAGAAAAGCAAGTCCCGGAGCTACCTTATGCGGCTGAAGTCAACCTTATAGCAGGCAAAACCAAAATAGGTGTGTCGTGAATATCACGCCATTTCCCACAAAAAACAGCAAAAGCAAATCCCTCTTTTCGCGCAATAACGGTTGTATTGCAACGCACCCAGTATATACGAATAGCACGAACATCACACCATTTTGTACGAGAGCAGACTAGAGGCATCCAATCTCACCTTCCACAGAAACAATCACATCTCGCCCGCCCAATCATTGTGCGAATGAGGTTCACAGGTGGACAGAGACACCGGCGTTACCTGGGGAGGCGGGGCTTGGAGGCCGCTGCGGACACCACGCCATCGTCGACGGTGGACGCGCAGCACCGGAGCTGGCGCGGTGGCAGCGCCACGGGCGGCGCGAATCGGAGGAAGGCGGGGCGGAGGCCACCCCGCGTGCGCGCCGGGCAGGGTGCGGCCACCCGCGGCAGCGCGAGGCCGGAGGCGGCGACCATGGCGCGGGCAGCCGGAGATCTCGCGGCGGAGATTCGGGCGCCGGAGGGAGGGAGTCACAGTCACCTGGGGGCGGGAGGAGGTGGGGGAAGGGGAAGTGGCGGCGGCGAGCGGGGCATGCGAGGGAAGAGTGGGGGGAGAAATAGAGGCCGCGGCGGTGGGAACGGTGGGCGGCGGTGATGGTTGCGAGGGTGGGAGGGAGTGGGCGAGCTTCGAAAGCTCCGCCCCCAGGCGAGAGGTATTTTTAAGGAAAGGGCGATGTGGCTGATGGCTTTCCCTTCCCCCGGCGCACACCAATCTATGGGTGGAGCAACCCAAGCTGCTCGCCTTCTACGGACGTGCGTGCCTGTTCGCTTGCGTCTGATGACTGTGTTTCACTGGATTTATTATGATATATCAATTATTAATAAATACTTCCTCCATTTCAAAATTAGTGTCATTTTGGGTTTTGTGCTGGTCAAATATATTTTTAACTTTGACTAGATTTATTAAAAAATAGCAATATCTGTATCTTCAAATAAATTTATTACGATAATATATTAACAATTAATCTAATGATATTTATTATGTAGCATAAATCTAATGATTTCTTATATATATTTGGTCAAAGTTAAAAATATTTGACTTTCCGAAAGGTGAGAATAATACTTATTTTGAAACAAATGAAGTAATAATAGTAATAACAACAACAGCAATATAATACGATGTATGTATGTTCTGTCAATGCGTGCTGAGGGTAAACAAAAAATGCTAAACAAATACATATAATTGACACGGTGCTAGCAATGATGATGTCAACATAAAAAGAATTCCACTTGTAATATACTGTCACTTGTGCGATATAAGGTAGTTAGCAAACACTCATTTTGTACGTAGTATATTGATATAGCACAAAGTTGTTTTAACAGAAAATATATATAATATAAATCAACTTGGTATTTTTATACGAGCATGAGTACATGTAATACTACAAATATTTCATATAGATAGACATTTCGTATTTGATGGTTTGGGTAAATAGGTGTGCATATATACGTAATTATAATACACTCAGTCTAGTATGTATTATTATATGGGTATAGCACAAAATCATTTTAACAAGAAACGTATGTAATGTCAATCAACTCCATAATTTGGTACGAAAAGAAGCAATAGCACATACAATATATGTGATAAATAAAAAAATTATTGAGACAGGCATTTCGTATTTGATGGTTTAGGTAGGTAGCTGCATGTGCACCCCTAATTGTCCATGTGGTGTTCGGTTGACTGAATGTGAGGATCAGAAGTCATGATAGTTGATAGTGACCCATAAACTGTAGCTAATTACATATAAAAAAGAGAAAAACACACTAATTACTTCATCATCACTTCATGGCCGATGACATCTAACTAGGAGGAGCCAGGGGCTACAATTGTTAATGTGATCTTTAGCAAACTCGTTAATAGTACTTCTAGATGAACTAATTCAATCGCCAAAAAAACGAGTTTATTTAAATTTTAAGAGGGATGGGATTTCCATGTGATTGTGAGTACTCTTAGCTAGACTAGAAGCAATTCGCTTTTATCATGGTATCTATATATGATTTCTTTGGAATTGTTACAACACGTCGTAGTCAAATGTGTGATGGCTTTTGAAAAAATGGTAAGACCTCTAGTCTCCGTTAGCCAGAAGAGTAAAATCTACATGTATTTTTTTTCCATGAACAATGAAGAAAACTCCCTCTAAATGCTCGAATTTGAGAAAAAATATACAAAAATGGGATTATGGGAATAATGTATGTGCATGAAAACATCAATTTCCGTGTCTCGCAAAGAGTGTCATTCTCACTTTAACTATTTTGAGATATAAATATTGCTAATATTTTTCTATAAATTTAGTCAAACTTAAGAAATTTTGAATACTATAAAGAGAGAATTATCTATTTGGCACTGAAACAAATCGCTCTTTCATATAAGGCACTAGAAATTTTGAACTTTCTTATCTGGTATCGAGTTGAAATTTTCTTCCGTAAACGGCACTACCGTCCACTTGAGCTAGCAACGGTGTCAAGTGGTTGACGAAATGACACGAATGCCCTTGTTTGTAGCATAAGTCTATGGCGCCAAATACAGAAAGGATAAATAGACGGTTTGTCAAATAAGAAAATCATAAATATCACAAACATACTTGTTCACTAAAACATGGGATTTTGGTAATCGAACATTGCAAATAAATAATCAATAAATTTAAAATTCTAAGGTAACAACAGTTACATGTTAGTTTCATGCACATATTTTTGGTGATGTGAAAATTAATTATCTTCGTGGAATAAATAAAAAAGTTTATAATCTTATAGAAGACGGAGGCACAAGAATTTTTGTTTTCGATCTCTTGGTCTTGCATGTTTTTTCTTTTTTTTGAGACTGTATATTGGAACCCATTCTTTTTCCCTTTTTTGAGACTGTACACATTAGAAAATAAAATCACATAGGAATTTTTTACGGATCAGGCGAGACTAATTTTCTTCCAAAAGCTAAAACTCTAAAAGGCAGCGCGTAACCTCTCATCATCATTAAAAAACAAATGAAAATGAGAGAGCCACGTGCTGAGTCCGTCGGTGCAGAAGAGAAAAAACATTCAAAATATTCAAGCGTTATCTTATGGGAATGCCGAACGATATCCATTCTTGATCTCGCCGCAGCAGGACTGTCGCGCGTCTGTGCTGTGTTCATGCTAAGTTGCCGCCGGCGGACTGGACCGGAGACTGCGTGACGGGGACCGCCTTTGGGGGAGGCCACCCCATGGGCCACGGCATCTGCGCGCCGAGCCGTAGGGCCCGTTTGGGGAGGCACCAGGTGACGCTGCCCCGCGGGCAGTGTGCGAGCTTGCCCCACCGCGTCCCGCACCCCCGTGCCGCGACATGGGGCTAGCGCCGGCGCTCCGCTGGGCGGGCTCGCCCCGCCGCGCCACGGCCTGCACCCCACACCGTCGGGCGAGGCCGCCCCCCGCACCACGCGCCGCGAGATGGGGCCAGCGCCGGCCAACGAGCCCGCCCTGCCGCCGCGTTCCCCGCCGGACCCACGCCTCGATCTGCTACCATGGGGCGAGCTTGGCTGACTGTGGGGCGCCTCGAGCTAGGGGACCCGCCCCGTGAGTTCCTGGCCACCGGCGGCCGACGCCTCCTTTGCCCCATCCTCATCTCCTCCGGCCTCCATTCTCTCTAGGGTTTCGTGTCTCTTGTTTTCAGAAGAGAAGAGCGACGAGAGAAAGCAGGAGACTCAGGAGAGAAGGGGAGATGGAGTCATGGACGCACGCACGAGACCGAGGACCTGCGCGCGACCAAAATAAACATGGGCATTTTGGTACTTCTAATGAAAAGCTAACATGGTCTTCCTAATCAACTAATGGAGGGATGCCTGAAATGGATGACAGTGCCATTTATGTAATGAATTTTTAAGTTAGTGCTAGATAAGAAAGTTCAAAATTTCCAGTGCCTCGTATGAAAGAGTGATTTGTTTTAGTGCCAAATAAAAAATTCTCTCTAATATAAAACCCTATGCGACACTTTTGGATGAAGGTAGTATGTTGAAATTTCAAAATAATGCTAACTGTGATGGCCCATTGTTACATGGAGTTCATATATTAGTCCAAAGAAAATCGTTCGTTTTGGTAGAAAGATGTAACGAGGCTCAACGTGTATGGGTGTGAGACATACATGGATCCTGATCCACCTACTTTTTTTCTATTCTTCTATTTGAAACGTGCTACAAGCCTACTTTTTTTCTATTCTTCTATTTGAATAGCGCTACAAGCTATTTTTATGCATGGGGCATAAGAGCGGACACTCTTGCCCTATTCCAAGGAAGTAAATAATAACAACACTTTAGACATACTCCATCTGTTTTAAATTATAAGACGTTTTGGTTTTTTTACATACATTATTTTTGTTATGTACTTAGATATACACTATATCTAGATACATAGTAAAAGCAATGTATTTAGAAAGACTAAAACGTCTTATAATTTGGAACGAATGGAGTATTAATTCTCTCTCCTTTATGGGTAGTAGTGGGGAGATCGATTAAAGTGGATACGTTGTCAATGCTATGAAATAGCTTTCTCTTCTATTTATCCACCTTATCCCTTGAAATGGATATGGAAAATCAAATGTGCCCCGTGACCCAATATTTTGTGTTACTGTTCTTAAATGAAAGCTTCAAAAGTGGCTCCAATGTACTAGTAGCATTTATCCGATCTGAGGGGTGAGAGAAAAGTTATCACGGTCGACGTGTGTCTAGGAAAAGTGATTTGTCTTTAGGCTTGACCAACATGAGTTGGCCAGATGATCTCATCTTCAAGAGAGTGCAAGCAAACGTTCATGAAAGCAAGACGAGCTTCAAGAATCGTTACTCTCCTTTAGAGAGTGAATCCCAGACTATCCCTTAACTATTGATTCAAAATCCATTGTAATTTGTGGATTGATGCTTATTTTCTTTTATTCTTTTTTTTTCTTAACTAGTCTGTATTTGAGTTTTAAACTTTGAATTTATCTTAATAAATACTATAGGGGCCAAGGTCCCTCCAGATTCTTAGAGAAAAAAACATGAGTTGACCAGAGCATCATAGACGACAAGGCCCTGACCAAGATTTCTCTTCAGTATATATCGGTCCCACAAATCAATGTTCACACAAGATGTTGCACTATATTCGTGTTCATGTTTGCTGAGCACTAGAGTTGCCGTAGCACTAATCACACAATAAATACTTGACGAGGAATACTCATTTGGACTACTAGTAAGTAGGGATATAATGCGAATGAGCCGTAGGTTCGATATATGGTCGGGTTCGAACATTGTTCGAGACAGGTTTCCTTCATCTTCTTTGTAGCTTTAAGTCACAGCTCAAGCGTAGATGCTTCACAAATCACAATGGTTAAGGCATTATGCCAGTTACACTTAGCATGCGATGATCTTCAATACCTCTCAACCACATGTGTAAGTGTATGCCTATGCCTAACTT